ACACACACACACACACACACTTGCACAACAGCACCGCATTGCAACAAATAACATTCATACACATACACATAAACAAACACACACAATTTAGGATTTCAAAAAAGATAAATCAAAAGCCTCAACGATATCGATGAACAAAACCAAAGTGACACTCCTGACACTCCCAACTCAACCCTCCTTTTTCACAATATTAACATAATTCCTTTCTGGGGCATTATCTATTAGTATATTATGGCTTTATCACATGCCGTACAATAATATTCAGATATATGCATTCAATGTCTGAAGATGGTGTAATTTGTGTAAGTCTTTTTAGACGCTTAGACGCTACTTTTAGTTGTGCACCTAACATACTCTCAGTGTATATTGATATATTAAGTACGCCGACAATAAACGATGCAGTATACAGTACTCTGTTAATCCATCACGAAGGCAAGGTGCTCAACCCTGTTACATGATTTACTTAGAGGAAGTGGCGAAACGTGTGAAAATTGAGCGTAAATGTGTGTAAATGTGTGTAAATGTGTGACATTACGTGGCTATTCAAGTATAATTATAAGTAGGGTGCATTGTACATTGGAAGACAGTTGAATGTCAGGTAGGGGGTTTTAGAAGATTGCAAAAAAAGGGGGGGGGGGCACGGTAGGAGAACGGGAGGTTGAATTTGAACATACACATCAGAATTGGAAGCAGTCTGGTATTTGCGGGCAGGGTGAATAAAAGGGGGGGGGGGGGCTATTTCATTTTTCACAAAACCACCGACTTAAGCACAGTCAAAGAAGTGCGGCCGAGGTTCTTGATCTTACAGATAGAACAATTATGATGTGTCACCTTCACTATCCTTGTCTGTTCCTTTATCTTTTTCACCTTCCTCTATATAAAGATAATGAGATTCCGTTTGTTTAGACACTCTGAAGTGCAACAACAGGGACAACTTCTGCAGGTAAGTTAGAAACAAGAATAATGAGATTCTGCATTAGTTTGACAATTGTGTGAGGTGTAAAAATACGCTGCGAATCCCAATCGATGAAATAAAGATCTTTTGTTTTCTAGTTTGTGACGCTAAAGTTTCATTATATCTCTTACACACACACACACACACACACACACACACACACACACACACACACACACACATGTGTGGGCTGTGGATAAAGGGGGAGGTGGAGATGATAGCGATCAGAAAATATAAAAGCGCCGGAGACATGGGATATTATATTATAAATATATATATATTTATTTATTTATTATATACATATATACATATTATTATGTGTGTATGTATGTGTGTGTGTGTGTGTGTGTGTGTGTGTGTGTGTGTGTGTGTGTGAGTGTGTGTGTGTGTGTGTGTGTGTGTGTGTGTGTGTGTGTGTGTGTGTGTGTGTGTGTAATATGGATAGTCTGAGGAAAGCAGAGGACAAAGATAAATGGCGAGAGCTGGTTTTCAGATGCAGTGGTGCCCCAACGGTTGCCCCAACCACGGGATAAAAGAAGAAAAAGAAGAAGATATACATACATATATATAATATTATTTTATCTTTTGTATATATAAATATATATATATCGTTAGCACTTTTTACAGGTGTTAGTTTCTTTCCAGCCTTGCAAAACGCTCTCTAAGAACTGACGCCACAATGAACTGGACAGGTCAGCTTCTAAGTCTGGTCTGCCTGGCCTTGGCCTACACCAAGGTGGACTCCAGACCGAGGTTGGACGCTCTAATGGTTCATGAGTGGACATCAGTGGACATTGAATGGCCTTCTGATGCGGTGAAACAGGAATACATAAAGAATGGTTCTTTCGTGGCGGAGAAAAATATCATAACTGGAATTAAGGTGAGGTCGTTAAATGGGATTCTAGTGGATGGAATAAGCCTGGTTTGGTTTTTATCATCTTTTCAAATTTCTCTGTCATTTCATTCTTTGCTTTTCACCTGCACCCATGATTTCGGGTTTGTTTCGCATGTGCAGATAATTTGTAAATTTCTTTGAACGGGCAAATGCCCTGTTGTGGTCATTTTGAAAATTAATTATAAATCCTTTACGCCCCTATCAACAAGATTCGGGCTAATTGGGGGGGGGGGGCTGACTGCTTCGACTCTTATTTCCAGAGCTGAGTGGACGCAGCACCCAAAAAGAAAGCGGCAAATATTTCACAAAAACAAACTTCCCAAAGTAGAAATCAAACCCTCTTCTTCTGGCACCCATGCAAATAGCGCTTTCATTACCCTACAGACACCAGTGTCCCCACATTAACAACTCTAATGGTCTTTCAAATGTCTTGAAAGGAAAATTCCAAACAGATTGTACAAAAGTCTCCAACCCATGAAACATATAATTTATCTTGATTTCTTATTACCCTGAAGCTTCGATATTAGCTTTTCATACATTTTATTTTTATCTTTTTTGGTTGAGAGGTGGGATTTGTACAGTAACCAAACTATACAATACCAAAGAGCTGCAGAGTTAGACTGCCATAGAAAACTGCGTCTCCTCTCGACGCTTGACGGTGGCGTCGGTGGCCTAGTGGTTAGGCTCTCGGACTCGCAACCGTAAGGTCGTGGGTTCGAATCCTGTCAGGACCCGAACTTGTGTCTTTGGGAAAGGCACTTTTCCCGAATTTTCTTCACTTCACCCAGGTGGGAATGGGTACCCGGCTATAGACAGCGAAAGATCTTGTCAGTGTGTTAGTGTTTGAGCGCTTAATCAGCTGCTTGCACTGTATGCTTCCCGTGAGGCCGAGAATGTTTCGGAGTGTTCTATGGTCTGCTGGGGTAATAATATAGTGTAAAGCGCATAGAGCCTGCTGTTGAGCGGGGATATGCGCTATAAAATTGCTATTTATTATTATTATGAACGGCAAGAGGGGATGAAGAAGCAAAAGTAAAGGTTAGGTAACCCATACTCATGCAGCTTTCACAGTTTATTCAAGGAATGTCTTTGTATAAAAATCAACTTTTACGTTGGTTATCCGTGATTGTTCTTGTATTAGTATCGTTAGTAATCTAGTCACGACCGTCGTCACATTGACTCTGCTACATTGTTGAAACAAAAGAGATAGCAAAGTTGCCGACTAACATTCCTGTTACATTTATTCAAATTATGATAAACGCTATACGAAACAGACACATTGTATTCCCGAAACACACACAAATAATCTGAGGTTAAGCAACACTATTGTCTAATGCTTACATCGTTTGTATTCCCAGGTTTATAAAAATCAAATTTACGTTACAATTCCAAGATGGCGCACCTTAACTGGCATACCAGTGACCTTGGCCACGGTTGTCCAAAGTGACGTTCGAAGCAAACTGAGACCATACCCTGACTGGACATCCCAAACTGTCGGTGACTGCCAGTCGTTGCAGAACGTCCAGAGCATGGAAATAGACCCCAATAGCGGCTTAATGTACGTGCTGGATACAGGCAGAATTGGTATATTGTCAGACGCCGTCAAGCCTGAGAATTTGTGTCCAGCAAAGATTGTTGTTCTGGACCTAAACACCAACAAACAAGTGGCCAGTTACGACATGCCTGCTGATGTAGTCAGTAGGGACAATAACTTTATGAACGACATTGTGCTGGATTACGTTGACGGTCAGGTGAGATATGCCTACATTACCGACGTCTTAGAGGAAGTTATCCACGTATTCGACTTTCTTACGGGAGCAGCCTGGAACGTTAAGGACGCGGACTCTATGAAAGCAGAAGCAAACGGTGAAGATTTTATTAATAACGGTGTCAACTACACGTTTACCGTGGGTGTAGACGGTATAGCTATGTCGCCTGACTTTGACTACGTGTACTACTGCCCCCTAGCGGGCTATAAACTCTACCAAGTTCCCACGTCGTCTCTGAGGAACGGTAGTGCTCAAGGGGTAAGACCTGTGGGGAAAAAAGTCTCACAGAGTGGCGGTGTGATTTACAGTGACAAAAGCTTCTACTACGGGGCTTTGGCCGACAACGCTGTATATTCCTGGGACGCCCAAAAAGATGCCAGAGACCAGAATGTGGATATTGGTCACGTGAAATTGACCACAGAGATGCTGGTTGCGAAAAATAACCAAACCATGCAGTGGCAAGACACGTTTGCTGTTGACGAATGCGGCTGGCTTTGGTTTGTCTCTAATCGTTTGCAGTTGTTTATCACAGACACCATGGACTTTTCCGGGAGGGAGATCAACATGAGAATTTGGAAAGTCTTCATCAACGAAACCAGCTACCTTCAGGGGGCACGGGAGAGAACTGCAATTCTTCCTATTATTGGTTGATCAAACATGGTTTATAGGTCAAGTGAAATGGCAAACAAGGGAACAGAGGAAGACACAATACGCGGAGATATAGACATGGGTGGCTTTGTTTACTTGTTGGATTTTTTGTTTTTGTTTTAGTAAGAGTTTTGGAGCACTTGCAACGCAATAAGGTCCTGTAAGTGGAATGAGGTATTAACGAACAGAGGTGTTACAAGAAAGTAACAATAACGAAATAAAAAAGAAGCAGGGGAGATAAGGACGTTAGGTGTTTGACAGGAAAGAAGTGGCAAACCACACCATAGCACGTACCAGCCACCCAAGAAATATCAATAAAGATTAACTCATCGTCTCCATTACGATTATTAAGTGCATGAGGAAAAGTAAGACAGATAGACAGAAAGGACAAAGGGTAAGAAAAGAAGTAAAACCTACCAATTATGCTCTACGATCACACACTCGGTTACTCTCGCAACAATTAGACACTTTATGCAATATGACGAGGGGTGAGAACGCAGTATGTTTTCAATTTGACATAGTCGTGAAATCAAAATCTCTCGTCAAAAAATGAAATCGAAGAAATCAACGCTTTTCCGCCCATTGGACAATTTATAATAGACATTATTTTTGGCTCATCATCTTTTATATCCTTTTAGAAACACTTTCTGCGTGGATTTCGCTTATAAACGTTGATCACAAGTACGAAAAATGTAGATTTTGCAATTTCCAAGCTTTGGAAATCACCAAATTGTTGAAGCCATTTTCTCGCTGATTTTACCAGTGACACCAGACAACCCTCACTTTTCTTTCACCGCAAATATCTCAACTTCTATGCAAGATAGAGGGGTATGGTTTTCCAGTAAAGGCAAGGAAAATGAACATGCTTAAAGAAAAACCAATAACTCCATATGCCCTACAATTTGAAGAGACCTTGATTTCACTGCGTCTGGACACACATATATGCCATTGCGGACTGGTGGTTATTAAATAATATTACACCCCAAGAGGCACACTTTAGATCTTTTGGGGGGCTGACTGCTTCGACTTTGGTCGTCAAAACATACCTTGGTTAAGATGGATACTACCCTCGTACTTACATCCTGGGGGTGAAAGACGGAGATCTTTGATAATATCAATATTATGTATTATATTCACAAATAGTACAACATGCCTTTGCAGGTCTTTCTTCTCCTTCTTCTCGATCGCATCACACTTGAAGTCTGGTATCTGTCATAAATTGGGCCGTCCTGCTCAGTTCATCTGTCGGCCCGTATAGCTGCTCTTGTAGCGTCAGTGGGGTTGGCCACATTTCCTGTCTCAGGGCCCTGTGTGGCTTGCAGTGCTGAAGGATGTGTTCAACAGTTTGGTCTGCCTCTCCACACTGGCATTTGGGTGATTGTACTAGTTTAAAACATTAATTGTGCATGTTGTCTCAGTCTTGGGTGTTGTGTCCTAAGTCTGAAGATAATCACTTGTTCTTGGCGGGACAGTTCAAGATAGCCATCTGGTGTCTGAGGTGCTTTAAATAGTGTATTTATAATAGTTTTTATTTCTGTGTAGTTACCTCTGCAGGTGAACTGTGTCTACTCAGTAAGTCAGAGCTGCACGGGGTCGTATCGTGCATCTAGTAGATAACGTAGATCAATAAGTATGGAATGTTAGAAAAATTAGACTTCTTTCCTTTTCACGTTGCACACAAAGCTGATTGCGAATGCTTACTTATTGCTTGCACACTGCATAATGCTATAGATGTACAGCGTGTTTACTGTTATGTAAACGACATTGTGTTCTGCTGTCAATGACCAACTCAAAGTTGACATTGTTCTACATTATGTCTGAATGAACCGGTATATCGGAATATTTTTTATGTGCGTTCTGTTAGAGTTAGAGGCAAATAAAAGTCTAAAAATGTATGCCTTGCCTTCAATGTTATATATAAAACTCAACATAAATTAATTATAGTTGTAGATGTTTTACGTCACTATTGATATAATGGAGACCATTTAGGAGGCCGACAGCTTCAACCCTGCCTTGTCAGAGCTAATATGTTCTGAGAGAGATACAACGTCCAAGCATACAGACTGAGATACTCAATTTAAAAAAACATTCCAAACGAGAATCAAACTCGTTTTTTAAGCGTGCGACAGCGGAGTGCTTAGCCGCTACACTACAGATGCCGGTAATTCCATATCCTTGCAAAAAAAATCGCCTTTGGTGTCAGTGATAGTATTTTGGTTTTCGTCTCTTTAGATAATAGGGTAAACAAAAAGAAATCATAATATTTGTTTCTAACTTTATTTAAGAACTCTGACCCGCCTCTTCAATAACCTAATATTGTTGACATGAGTGTTAAAACCACTCCATTTAGAACTGTGCAGGATTTTTTTCAACACCTTAGAACAGGCCTCCACTGTGTCCAGTGGTGCAAATTAGGGATCGGATCGGGAGATCTCAATAAGATAACGAGTTGTTGTGGAGTTTCACCCAGGCATGAACAACCTGCACAATATCCAGAATGTTTGTGAGAGAGAGAGAGAGAGAGAGAGAGAGAGAGAGAGAGAGAGAGAGAGATAGATAGATAGATAGAAAAG